TGGGGAATTCTGGGAGCCCAAGCCCATGGGTCTTAAAGTTGCCAAGGTTGGGAAACACTGTTCTTGATCACCGACATCAGCGTGACCAGATTCCTTTCCCCGTAGTAAACATGTACATTGTTATTCCTGTCTTGCTAAAATAATCTAGCCGTTTCAGCACTTTTTTGGTCTTAACGTGGCATGCTTCACTTTATTTATTTACTTATTTATTTGAAATGCCTTTAAAAACAACAACAACAAACTTTCGCAGCACTAAGATGGCCAAACAGCTGTCCCAAAGAAGCAACTGGGTAAGAGATCCCACTTTGCCTTGGTCTCTTGGTAGAGTCGTGGGGAAGCTGCTGTTTGAGGGGACAGGGACCCTCCTAGGCTTTATGATTGTGGAACACTACATTTGCAGTTCAGCCCAGAGGGGCAGATCTAGAACCTCTGGTGATGTTTTATGGGGATTGCACAAGGGGAATGAGATACTGCACTGTTTGGGCTTCGTTCCGAATGCTGCTAGAATTACGGGAATGGCTTCCTCTGCCATGCCAGATAGCTCCAAGGAGCCACAGGGGCCTTTAAGCCCCTGGATGGCTGCCAATTCTTTTTTACAATTTTAATTTGCTTTTCATGGAAGGTCCCCCCATTTCTCCCACTTACTTTCCAGGTATCTACAAGTTGCATATTTTGAAGGGGATCTAACCCAGTTCTTCCTCCCGAGTTTGCTTGGTGAGATCTGGGCTAAAGCCAACCCCGATGAAAACCGTGCAAGAGTTGTGCTAGGGGGACACTGTTCTTCACGTGGCATCTTTGTGGCTTTGGTTTTAATCCCGTTGTACACATAGAATAGCAAGAACTTGTTTTACGTGGATAGTTATCTAGGGCCTTTCTTCACAATAGTCTGCTTTTTCACCTTTTAAAAGTGTTTCATGAACGCATCCGGAAAACTTTATAAACTATGCATATGTTGCGTGTAAATCCACAGTGAAATGCGGAGCTCTGGAATCAAGCTGTATAATGACCTGGGTTGTAAACAATTGTTGATCTTTAACCGAAAAATGAAAACATTGACTTGAGAAACTATATTCCAATGTATTATGAGAGATTTATTTTTTTTAGAAATATTATAATTACTTAATATAATCATAGAAGTGTTTTGCGATTGGACTCAAGTGACTATTTTTATTAAAGTGATTTTTCTTATATTCTGAAAATTGTTTTTTTTTTCACTTGGGTACGAGACTACAGTTAATATGCTTGAGCCCTCTCTCTATCAACCTATTTCCCATCTTTCAGTAAGTAAACCATGGTTTATAGATCACAATGGGTGCATTCATACAACACACTCAATCCAACCATACAAATCACATTATGACCGGATGTGAAGTCAAGCATTTCTGAAGTAAGAGCTAGAGAAGATTGGAAGGATGTAAAATGAAATAACATATAGGTAGAATTGGGTTTGCAGTTTTTCGATCTTTCATTTTTGACTGCAGTTGGTAACCAACTACTTGCTGTTTGCTCTACTGAATTCAATGGGTGTATCTTCCAAAAAGATGCATTTAGCAGAGGTGGAGCACATCTGGGAAACCACAACTTGTAGTATCTTTCACCTTTGGCAATTGTGTAAGAAATCATTGGGGTTGTAACTTTAGCAACTTCTGGGGGACCAGCGGTTTCCTAGTCCCATAAGACCATATTGTCAATAAAATTACTGTTTACCCACAGTGCCATAATTGTACTCTGGCTCCATCTACATGGACCTTACAAAGAGGCAAAATAAAGCATGGACTTTCAAAGAAATCGAAAAGCTGTTCAGCCCTGCAAAAGAAAGACCTGGTTGTTAGGGGTAAAATTCAATAAAATCACCATGTGAAATTGGGGGAGATGACTTATCTCAAAGGCAGCCTGTCAGGTTTGATCTTGTAACTGGCTGAAAAAAAAATCCCCCAAATATTTATTTTACCTTTGCTTATTCAGATTCCTTTGTTGTAAACTGTGAAGGATGCTTCATACAAACTTGATTCTCTCTTCCCTTTCCTTTGATGGACTGAAGTCCAGAATCAACAGATTTTAGATTTTATGGGCAGGGCAGAAACAAAACAGCAAGTTCTTCCTAGAGAAATGCTCATGTCACATTGCCTCTTTCTGCAGATACTATTTTCCTCCCCTTCCTTTTGCCAGTTGTGTTTCTGAAACGAAATAATCAAATTTAAGATGCACCTGCACAGTGTGAGACGCTGCTAACCCTCCCCGCTCATCCGTTCATTTTTGGCCCAAGTTACCAGGCTGTTAATATGCCCCTCAGGAGAGCCCAGAAATGCCAAACTGGGGGGGGGGGGGGGAGAGAAAGGAAGTGAGTTTAAGTCTTGTGCTAATAATACTTAGTCGTAACTCCTGTGTACCCACTGCACATTATTGCATGAAGCTTGAAGAAGGTTCTCGGGGTGGCTTTTTTTCATTTCAGTTCAAAATCCGCTTAGAGTTAAACAAACACTGAAATCCAGTTCTTTTCACCAGTTTGCAGAAAAGAACCCTTTCTCACAGCTGTTTTTTCTATCAAGCCCATTAACCGGGGAAATGAACTTGGGTTCGCCACTTAGCCTGGATTTCTAGAATCCACACCCCGTGCTTGGTTCACATCACACGCTGTGCTGCAGTGTGAATAGTTTGTCACGCAGATGGCGTAAATTGAAGCTTTAGGGTTTGTGCAAAACACTGTAGGGTTGAGCTGGTGGTGTGAATTCAGCTAGTTCAGGAATCTGAATGAGAATGAGAGAGCCTGTTTGGGCTAGTGGGGAAGGCACCAGGCTGGAAAGCAGGAGACGGTGAGTTCGAGTCCTGCTGGCTGGGTGACTTTGGGCCAGTCCCTCCCTCTCAGCCCAACCCACCTCACCGGGTTGTTGTGGTGGTGAAAATAGGAGGAGGAAGGAGTAGTCGCCGTGTTCACCGCCTTGAGTTATTTATAAAAATAAGAAAGGCGGGATAAAAAATAATAAAAAAAACTAGCTGAACCATAGCCACCACGTGATCCTGACAGTATGCAGTACGAAAGAATTCTCTCCCGGTGATTAGTACGTGTTGCAGATGTAGAGTTTTTGCTCTCTACGGTAACAACTTACTGTGAAAAGCACTACATTCAGCTCAGTTACGGCATGGTAGATGGTGTCATCGCATGACGGGCGTGCGTGGATTTATCTGCCCGAAATAGAGGCCTTGACTCATTATTTAAATGACCCCAAAAATGCAGCTGGGGCTCAAATTATGCTACGTTACCTGATTTGTGGGCTCAACAGGCAGCGTCGCTTTTAACCAGCTCTGAATCATACCGGGTCCCGGCATAATTGCAGGCCAGCAGTTTGAAAGCCGTACTCCTAACAGGCCACTTCCTTTGGAGAACGCGGCCGTCGGAGCAAGTGCCTTTGTGTACTCAGCTGCAACAGCCGATCTAACTGTTGCCGTGGGGTGTGTGTGTGTGTGTGTGTGAGATAAAGGAAAACCATGACTGGGGATGGAAAAAAGAGAGAGTACCGTGCGAGCTTCAGCGTGAGTGATGAAATGGAGGCTCTACGGTAACGTTGTGCTAAGCCCTCCAGATGTTTTGGACCATAGTCCCCATAATCCACAGACATTGGCTGAGCTGGCAGAGGGTGATGGGAGTTATAGTCTAAAGCACATGGGGGAATCCGGATTGGTTAGTTCCATGCTGATGCTCCGGGTATTTTGTACGTCTTAATTGGCATCTACTTTAAGGTGAGAGATTGATCGTTTTTATCGCATTTCCTTCAAGAGCTCAGGACGGTACGTGCAGGTTCCCTGGCCCTGTCCGCTTTATCCTCACAACAATCCAGCGAGGTAGGCTTAGCAGGGAGAGACCAGCTGGCCAAAAGTCACCTAGTGGTCTTCAAAGCGGGGAAGAATTTGTACGTGCCTCCTAGTCTAGCCCTCCTGGGAACAGTTAGGTATCTGCCTCTAAATTCTTCGCTTTCTTTGAATTCTTTGAATCGAGAAAAACAGAACAAAACCCAGAAGCTACAAAAATAGTGTTTCAAAAAAACACAGGACTAAATAAAAATAAATGAAAAGGAAACTCTCGGGGCTGCTGTGGTTAAAAAAGGAGAAGAAAAGAGTCGCTTGAAAAAGGTCAAAGAGATGAACAGCTGCAGAGAAAGACAAGAGAAACTGCTGGATTAGCAATAGGCAATGAAATAACTTTTGGTCTTTGCCAGACTCTCAGTCATAAATCAAGCAAAAACCCCAAAACCCAATAATTCAATAATACTGAGTTATTTTACTACAATAGATAAACCGCTGCTCAGGGTCACAACCCTGAAGTGTCTTTCCGGCAATATAAATAACAGCGACTAAACATGTACGAAGCACTATTTAAAGGTAGAGAATAAGCTGTAGGGTGGTAGGGAGGATCTTGGGGGGGGGGCGTACAGCGGGCGGGGGGGGCTCTGAACAACTGCATGACATGTGGTGGCTGGGAAAAACCTAGCAGGGTATCCAGTTTGGTGCATTTGCCAAAGTTCAGCTGTCTGAAGCAACACAACAGAGAGAGAAAGATACCGAGAAAGGAATAAAAGCGGCGATGAGGCTTACGCAGCAATGGGGAGGTAACATTTTTGCAGCTGTGAGGGCAACAGCCTTTG